TTTGAAGGCGGCGTGCCTGCTATTTTCTCCCTGCTGCCTCCTGCTCTCCTTTTGATTCTCACAACCCTCAGACACTCTAGAGGTTGTTCCAAGTTGATCCCATTTATGCGCCCAAACCCCCGGCTTTCCTGTGGGAACACTAATTAATTAATTAATTTTTATTAAAAATAAAACAGAATGAAACCAAAAATGAGTAAAAGAAAATAATAAAGATCAGAAAACACAATCCCTTATCAAATCGTCAACATCATTCCTCATGTAGATTAACATTTCGATTCTTACATTTCTATAACAATAAAAAAAAGGCTCAGAATAGTCTAAACAACTCGGATAAAGGAACAAAATTAGAGCTCCAACCCTCTCCAGCTCCACGACCTATCACAAAGCTACACCAATTATGACAAAATGGCATTATCAAGATAGACAAGCCACCAAAGTACCAATATAAAGTCCTAAAATAAATACCCACTTAACAGACATTTGATTTCTGGTAAACATGCAAAAGCACTTAGATGGAAAAAGAATTGTTCCCTCTATAAATATACTGGAACAACTGGATATCCACATGCAAAAAAAAAAAAAAAAAACCCAAACCTTATTGCACATCACAAATTTCTTACAACTTCCAGAAGCCAACTCAAAACGACTCAGGGTGGCTTAGTTAAAGTGAAGGCAGGTGTGGTCTGACTCATTGCTTGGCTGAAGTCATTCTCTCTGGGACAAAATACATGTTTTTTTCTTATAATACTAATGAAGCAATGTGATGATTATCCATGGGTGACATATTTATTTGATTAATAAGTAATTTTTCAAGGCACATCCATTTACCTATAAAAATGTCCAGTTTCTCATTCTTCAAGGCTGAATAGTTTCCCATTATATAGAAATACCACATCGTTTTTATCCATTCCTCAGTTGATGGGCACTCAGGTTGTTTCCAAGATCTGGCCATTATAAACTGTGCTACAATAAACATGGATATATATATATATATATATATATATATATATATATCACTGTTGTATGATGTTTTTAATTCTTTTGGGAAGATACCCAGCAGGGGAATAGCTGGGTTGAATGGAACTTCCAATCCTAGTTTTTTTAGGAATCTCCACACTGATTGGGGACATTAATTTAAAGCAGCCATATTATAAAGAGGTCAAGGACAATGAGTTAGAAAATGCTTGTGTCAGAGGAGGGCAATAGTCCCAAGACTGCAGCGAGGCCAGGTGATGAGGGAGCCCCAGGAACCTGGAGACCACAGACAGACGTGTAAATTGCTGCCTTAGTCACTCTATCATTGCTGAGACCAACTATCTAATACCCATAAGTTAAAGGAAGAAAAGTTTATTTTAGCTCACAGTTTGTAGAGTTTCAGTCCATGGTCCACTGGATCCAAGGCAACACGGCAGAGGTGCATCACAGAGAAGAAACAGTCCATAACATGGTAGGCAGGAGGCAGCAACAGCAGACAGTCTTCTATCCCCTCCAGGCTGCAAACCGATTGGTTGGTGCCACACACACCAAGGGTGAGTCTTCCTATTGTCTATACCCAGAACTATAATAAACCAATCAGTGGAGTAATTTAATTGTCACACACCCTTAATCCATATGCACACATCCTCAATCTAGCCACCTCTGAAAAGTTCCACCTATGAGCACATGAAGCTTGGGCAGGGTGGGGTGAATTTAGATTCACGCTATAACAATTGCACATGGCTGTAGAGAGAAGGAGGACTGAAACCCAGCCTCTGAGACCATTACCAAGCAAGGCACCCTGAGAAAGTTGAAGTTGCTCAGGGAAAAGGGCACCGTGTTCCTTGCACAGCCACTGAGCACTTGAGAAGCCATGTGCCTTCCTGGAAAGGGCATCATTTTCTAATTTTCACAAAGGATACTGCAGCTCCCTGTCTCAGATCAGACAAAGGAAGATTTCCAAGTATAGGAAAGAATTTAAGAATAAAACCAAAAGCAACCGACATAAAAGGAAACCAAAAAATTATTAATAATAATAATTTGAAATTCTTCCTCTTCTTTTTCATTCAATTGGGATGTTCAGTGTGAAGGGTGGGTAGAGGCACAGACACACAGGTTGTCGCCAGAGTCTGTACATGGTGACCATCAGGATACACATTTGGAGGTCAGGTAGCTCACTTCTCTGCTGGCCACAGGACAGGCCACACTTTCCTTTGAATCTTGGCAGAGGGCCCTGGAGGGATGATTTTCTGGGATGCATTTGAAGGTAGAGATGGGAGCAGAAAGAGTTGGAGAACAAGTGTTGGTGCTGACTGAGATCAAAATCAGACTTTCTAGGCCACTTGCACGGTAGGGACCAATGCCTGGATTCCACTGACACTTGCCCTTATGTGGACCAAGGGATACTTTAAGCCCTGGAGCACTAGCTGGACAAGGCTGGGACTCTCCCAGGACCAGGAACAAAGAGGGATAGGTCCCTTCTCACCTCCCTTGGACACCAGGCACAGGAAGTCTGCAGACAGCATGGCAGTTAGTGGCCAGTGGTGGCTTCTCAGGAACCAGGGGCATTCCTGGTGCCCAACTCCAGATAAGCCTCTCACAGAGGCCTCAACCAGTGGCCTTGATAAAGTGTCACATCCTCCCTTTCTGTAACTGCCTTGGAAGGGACTTTTGTACAGACACCAGAGCTGAGAAGGAAGTCATGTGCAAGTTTGCATCTGATTTCTCTTTTTAGCACCCAGAGCCCCAAGGTTAGGCAGAGGGTTGTATCAATGGACGACTCTCAGGTGGAAAGTGAGCCCCCCGCCTTTTATAAGAATATGGGAACTAAGGCCAAGAGAGAGAAGAGTTATCACATGCCAGATCTCCTCCAGATACTCTCATAGGTTGCCGGTTTCATGTGTCCACCAGTTCTGGGAGATAACCAGCATTCTTAATTCCCATCTTACAGATAAGGGGGGATGGGCGAGAGTGCTCAACACTCAAGGAAGGGACTTGAGGCTCCTATAACCAAGAAGCATCTTCTGGGGTTGGAACCCAAGGAGATGAGTTTTCCAGTTCTGTTTTTTCTCCAAGAGCCTTATGTTCTGGGCTAATCCTGTGCAGCCCAGACTCCATGTTGAAGACTCTTTCCCCAGCTCTGGAAATGAGTGCAAGTGGAGAGGGAGCTCTTCGTTAGCATGTTGCAAAAGTCAAGTGGCACGACTTCCCACCACCATCTGGGTGGGAAGAGCCTCGTCCTCCTACACTGTCCCTGCAACGGAACTGAGCAAAGCCAACAAGTCGAAGGCAAACATGTCCTCAAGCCCCTCTAAACCCACACATAGCCTGAATTGTGAGTCTACAACTGCTGAGGGCCTTACCTTGGACAGAAACCAGCCCAGTATCATAGTCCAAACCTTGGAGGCTAAGCCCTTGGGTGGGGAAAACATTCTGCCCTTTGCAAGTCTGTCCCTGTCTCAGTTTTATTAACCAGAAGGCAGGGAGCTGCATACGGGTTTGCAATACCAGTTACCAGCTGGTGAAATCACAGAGCAAAGCCCTCTCTCCTCGAACCAGCCTAAAGCCATGCCAAGCAACCAGATGGGCAGTAAAACCTCTTAAACAGCTGCTGTCTGTGGCTATGCTACTACTGGAATTGTAAGTTTATTTTATAGGGATCATGGGTGAGTTCTTCAGACTGAAAATGAAAAATACCGCTTTAGACAGGCTGGTTCATCTTCTCATATCTTAGAATTATGGCTGCTTCCCAGAGTTTAGTTTTGGGAACAGTGTGTTCTTTTACATTCCAGGCCTAGCATGGTAAACTGTTACCAGTACAAATTATATATCAGCAACATCCATTAACTAAAGTCTTGCCATGTACTTAGCAGGTGTCATATTATTTAATCCTTGTGACGGTCCCACCAGTAGGCACTGGGATTGGTTTTCATTCCATAGATGGACATTTTGAGGCTCAGGAGTATTAAGGATTTGTCCAGAATTATGTAGCTGGAAATCGATAGAAATAGGACTTGAATCCAGGACTCCTTATGACAAATAAGACCTAAATCTTTGCCTTTGGGAATACATTCCCTTTATACCTATGAAACAAATGATCCTGAAAGAAATAAGCAACTCCATCAGGAGAAACAGTCAACATCTCTGTGCCATGAGCATATCTCTATTGCCTCCAGATTGTTCTAACTTTGCATTCCACAGCCTGCCTCAGTTTCTCCAGCTGTAAAACAAGGTGGCAAGCCTATTTTGATAGAGTTGTATGACAAGTGACTAGAAAATGAATGTCAAATGTTTTGTGTAGTAAGAATACAATAAAAGATGGCTTATTATTATTATTATTATGTCACATTAGGATGATGTGTCCTTTGTTCTGTCCTCTTAAGAGTAGTTCAGTGCATGGATCATGTTTCTCCATGAAAGAAAAATATCTGAGGATTCTGACTCACTTTATCTTTAGAAGCTAAACTAGTCCCTTCTTTCTTTTGCTGTTTCTGTAGAAAGTTCTTAACATTCAAAGCAGACCCCGTTTAACCTTTTGCCCAACATAGCTTTACCTACTTCAAACCCCTTCGGCTCTCTGAGGCCTGGCTTCCTTCAGGCTCAGGCTATAAATGTTTGACTTTGATTTGAGATACATGACAATAAATTAGGGGACATTTATCAAAGCTGCTTTTTGCATAAATTACTGCATTATACAAATACACTTAGCAGGATCCTGCTTCTTTGATGTTGGGAGCAAAGATTTATGTGTGATGGAGTTTTTATTTATCTGCCCTGTTCACCTCTACAAGAACTGGACATATTCCTCAATTAGTTCCATACTTCTTGAAATGACGTGTATCTCTTGCAACTTGAGTTAAGGGAACAAAGACACTTAAACCCCATCCAAGTGGCCTTTTTAAGGAGAAGAGAAGCTTTATCTGACCCAAGGTGTCTCTGGATTCTTTCTCCTAGGAGCAGATTGAAAGACATTGAAATCTGTTGCTCTGGAACCTTCCCCACCATTAAAAAAACTGAATAGCAAAAAGGATTTGCTGATTATCATCACCACCACCACCACCTATTTCAGATGAATAAGAGACACAAATATTTTCTTATCACAGGCTTCTGTTTTCTAAAATTAGCTCCAGTGAGTACATTCTGTGGAGTCCGTTCTGTGTGATGTGAAATGGAAGCAGGATTGTTAGCTTCTTTGGCCATTGAAAATGTTCATGCATTCAGCAAGGTGAGTACTCTATAACTACTTTCATTTTTTTCATGTTTTGAAGAATATTATTAAAAAGAAAGTTACCCATCCTTATCTCCATTCTTTCATTAAAGTCAGCACAGTTGCCACAGCAGAGGGTGCACAGTAAGGAGGTGAGTTCAAGTCAAGGCTCAGGTGAGCATCAGAGTCCGATGGAGAGGGAAGGCCCTTTGGAGACTGAGTGGTGTTCCCAAAGTGTCAGAATATCATAGAGTGGGGCCTCTTCACCCAAGACAGCAGCCATCACTGTGAGAGCTGCAAGATGGGACAGAGACCTGGGCAGGAAGCTCTGAGCCCAGTGCTATGGGTAGGGCATGGACTGGGGACCACACCAGCAGCCAGCAATAGAAAGCAACACTCCCAACCCAACAGCTAGGTCCTTACCCCAGTCAGCCTCTACTGGGGAGAACCCCGGAGACAGGAGGGCAGCTGTCCCAGTCAGAGGCCCCACAGGATTCCTTCATCCTTCCTTCGAGTACCTGGGGCACATTTACCCCTTCCTGCCCCACTGAATCGCACAGAGTATCTTCTCCTCAGCTCTTGGTTGTCATTCATGGTCCCCAAAGGTCCTACTCCGTGCAGACAAAGCAGGGAGCAAAGGTGAAGGCATCATGGCGGGAAGGACCTGGCTGAGTGAAGATGAGAGGGACTGCCAGGCAGGCACTCACTGTGAGGACAGGCTGGAATAAGGCAGGTAGAGACACTTTGGAATAAAAGTACAGAACCAGAAAGGCCCTTTGCATGTGCTGTGTCTCAAGATGGGTTTGTTCCCCTTCCAAGCTTGTCTTGAAATACAGTTGCCAAGATAACAGTGTTGAGAGGTAGAGGACCTCTAAGAGCTGTTGGGTTGCACGTGAAACCCTGATGAATGGATTAGTGCTTTTTGTACAGGAATGGATTAACTCTCAAGGAGAGTTTCCTCCTTTCTCTCTCTGCACACTTCAGCTTTCTCTTCCCACTTTTCTGCCTTGCAAGAAACAGCACAAGGCTCTCACTAGCAACTGAGCAGATGCTGACACTTGAATTTCAAAATTTGGGAGCCAAAATAAACCTCTTTTCTTTACAAATGATTCAGACTCAAGTACTCTGATACAGAAACAGAAAATAGAAACATCATGTGTCCAGAATCTCCCCAATCTTTGCTGTTCTGTTTAGGTCAGGTGCTCCCCACCACTCTAAATCCAATTACAAGGGCTCTTCATTGAGATGTTTAGTTGAAAGTCCTGGCTAAAACTTCCAGATACTGAGCAGAAATACTTTCCAATTCCCATTCACAACACAACTGGTAAAGAGGGTGGAGATCGTAGTATGTTTGATAATTTCTTGTGCATTTTTCTGGAAAGGGAAAAAAACCCCAAAGCTTTGTAGAATTCCTCATGATTGCTACCTAAACTTGAACTATTTTCCTATCTCTTCTATCTTCCTTGTCCTTTCCAAATGTGCAAAGTGTGGGTTATAGTACATTACTCACAGGGCTCTTGTAAAGATTAAAAACCTCCTTTGCTTAGGGAGGAACACAGTGCCTGACACAGACTACCTACTCCCGTTAGTTCCATTCTTCTAAGACAATTCCAACTGGCATTGTTCTTTTATGATGATGAATTTTTAAACAAAATTTTAATTTTGAATTTGCAGGATTATCATGAAAATAGTATAGAAACCGTACATTCCACACTCAAGTTTCACTGTGACTAACATCTTAACATCAGTATGACGGAGTGGTCACAATTATTGATACAATATTATTAACTCAGATTCACACTGCCTTAGGATTCTCTCAGTTGTCCCCAAATGTCCTTCTCCTGCTCCAGGACCACATCCAGGATTCCAGGCTGCACTGAACCATCCTCTTCCCTTAGATTTCTCTTGGCTGTGATGGTTCCTCAGACTTTTCTCATTTCAATGACCTGACAGTTTTAAGAAGTACTGACTACGTTTTGCAGAATGTCACTCAAATGGAACTGGTCTGACCTTTTCCTGTGTGAGGCTGGGGTAGTGCATTTCGAGAGGAAGAACACAGAGGCAAAGTATCCCCCTTATCCCACCATATCAAAGGTATACGCTATCAGCACAATCTGTCACTGTTGATGCTGACCTGACCGCCTGGCTTGAAGTACGCTTGTCGTGTTTCTCCTCTGTAAAATTATGTCTTTCCTCCCTTCTCACATTGTGCTTTTTGAAAGAAAACTACTGCGTGCAGCCTATGCTGAAGAAGTGAAGAATTATACTCTCTTAAATCCACATGAAATGTTTTAATTTTTCCATACAGAAGATTGACTTAGTGTCTCTCATTTATTTATTCATTCAAGCATTTTTTATAGCAGCTTGGACTCATGGGTGTTTCTTAGGGACAGTCCAATATTGTTTAATTTTGTGGCTCAAATTACCATATCTCTTGCCCTTGAGAATTCTGCTAGTTCCTCCGTACCTATGACAGCCTATTATTATGGATTTAGTGGATAAGTATGGACTGGTTTTGCTTGCTTCTGTTTTATTTTATTTTTTGAAATCACTTTCTTGCTTTGTAAGATGTTCCAGCCTTAACTTTTGTATTTCTTACCCTGTGATGAGTGTCCTACAGTCAGCCACTTCTCCCAGCCCTAGTTCTATCAACCTAGCAACCAAGATCTGAGCATGAGACATGGAACAAAAAGAGATATGGATACTAGATAGATACAGGCATCATAAACAGATATGAGTCTCATCCCTCTAAGATCTTTCACCAGACAAACCAAGGAGATACATGTACATATGCTAATTTATGAATATACATGTATGTATTTAAACGTCTATAATAACCACCTGCGTCTAAAGTAAGCTAGTTCAGATTGACTTCTTTCACTTAGCAATGCATTTAAGAATCACCCATGTCATTATGTGGCTTGAGAGACAATTGTTTATTGCTGAATAATATTTATGGATAGATAATAGTTTGTTCATTCTCTTACAGGAGGACATTTTGGTTGCTTCCATGTTTGTCTGGTAGTTATTGATAAAGTCACTCCAGAAACATTCAGCTGCAGGATTTTGTATAAAGATATGTTTAAATTAGCTAGGCAAATATCTAGGGGTTTAGTTCCTGAATCACATAGTAAGACTATATTTAGCTTTTTTTTCTCCTGTACTGGGGATTGAACCCAGAATTTCACACTGAGTTATATACTTAGTCCCTTTTTTAAAATTTTTATTTTGAGACAAGGTCTTACTAAATTACCCAAGCTGAGCTCAATCTTGGAATCCTCCTGCCTCAGCCTCCTAGAGTTAGGCGAGCCACAGGAGACTATCACCCTACTTGGTTGTTTAGCTTTTTAAGAAACTACCAAAGTGGCTGCAGCACACTGCATTTATATCAGCAATAAATGAAAGTTCCTATTGTACATTCAGGCATCTGTACTGTCAGTTTGTTTAGGTCTTTTTGGTTGCTGTTGTGTTTTTTGTTGCTGTTGTTTTGTTTTTGCATTTTGATTATTCTAACAGATATGTGGTGATATCCCATTGTTATTTTAATTTGCAATTCCTCTCTAAAAATGATGTCAATCTTTTCATATGCTTATTTGTCATTTGCACACCTTTTCTGGTGAGTTCTTTGTTCAAAATTTTGTCCATTTTAAAGTTTATGTTTCCTTGTGGCTGAGTTATTGGAGTGCATTGTGTATTTCACATGCATGTATTCTTCTGCTGGTGTCCTCTTGGACATGCTCACCAGTTCAGCTATGTCCATGCTGCCCCACCTCACTGTATCTGTATCATCCTGAATTCAGAGCACAGGAACTGTCCCATCAGCCCAGCATGCATGCCCGACTCAGAAAACTGGGAAGGAATTGCTCTTGACAATTAGTTGCCTCCCTGAAAGCACAACGCCAAAAGAGTTCAGCTAGACTAAGACCATTTCCTTTTTATGTCACTTGAACTCCCAGTCGGCCTGTGCCCATGTGCCTCCTAAGGTCATGTGCTTGGATGTGCTCCCCTCTGCCCCCTCAAAGCTGGCTCACTGACATTTTCCCGGCAATGCCTCGAAGTTCTTATGTTTTAAGACACAAGGATCTTTAAAGCACTTGTAGGCTCTTTTATGGGTGAATAAAAGGAGGCTAAGTTCATTGATGCTAGTAGGTGTTACATCAGGAAAAGGTAAACAGAGTTAAGTACATTTAGGACTAAATGCAGTTAAACTCCTTAAACCCTTGCTGTTCAAAATATAACATCAAATTGCATTAGAAATGTAGAGTCCCAGACCCTACTCCAGCTGAATTTGAACTTTATTTCAATGAGTCCTCTTCTGCCAGCCAGTTGGCTTGAACATTCATTAAAATTTAAGAACCCTGTCTTCATTTAGTAACTTTGCAAATCATTATTGAGTGCTAGGTATCAGGGATTCATCAGAAGACAGATAGCACCTGCCTGATGGGGTTAGTCTCAAGTGGACACAGACATCATGAAATTACCTCATAAGTAACTGGCACATTGACTATACTTTTGATTTATTCCATAAAGAAAGTATATTTGAGAATGAGAAATACAAAGGACATGTAGGATTGACTTGAGCTAAAGACAACCCAGAAGATGAATCTACATGAATGGTGGATCATGAGACTCCCAACATTTTTGATCCTGGCATCCTACACAATGACATACTTTAGAAGATACTACCTTGCAATTCATGTGACCTACCTAAGACCAACTGCGTGGTGGATAGAATGGGAGTCCAAGCCCAGTCCCCCAGCCTCCCCATTCTCAGCCCACTCCATCTTATTATGCTACCCTGTCCCAGTCGCTGGGAGGACCCCAAGATGATGTGAAGAACTGAGGCCCTGGCGTCAGGCTGGCTGCCAGTCAAGCTGGACATATGTACAAGCTATTTCTATGGAGCAACAAATTCTGGAAAATATGTGGTTTAGCAGCAACATAATTATCATCCTCTAAAATTAGGCTCACAGTCTAAACAACCCCAAGTCTTCCTTCTGTAAAAAAACAAACAATCGCAGGCAGGAAGCCTGTAGCAATGCTTGTTGTGTTGGCCAACAGGCCTGCAAGCCTCCCTGCTGAGCTAAAAGGGCAAACAGTACCTAAAAAATGTAAATATTTTATTATTTTTCAAATAGCACCTATTCCATTCTCACCCTAGCTGGCTCCGCCTGTGTACCTTGGCACCCTGTAGATGCCCCCTGCCCTGCCACCTCCACACTTTGTCCATGAAACACGTAGATATATTTTTTTCAGAAGCCATTATCTAAACTGCTGATGTAATAAGGCCCTGGTATATGAAATTCACTTAATAACTCACGCTTAGTTATTTATTGTGAGCCTGGGTGCATGCTCCTTGATTCCATTTCCCAGCGAAATATAAGTGCAGCTTTCATCGTGAGCACCTAAATTTATGGCAAACAGACCAAGTGACATTAAGAAAGCCACACAATCCCTTCATTCAGTCTTTAATAAGGAAGCCAAGGAAAAATTATCCTAGCTGGTTTGCGGGTGACAGCACAAGAACTTTCTGGAGTCAGAAAGTGAGCAGTGCGCCTCCTTGTCAGCCCATTAAAAAGCAAAGCTGGCACGGCATGATATTAGAACCATGTGTGAGAAAGAATTTCTCCTCTGGTAAGACATTCCAAATACTGTCTCCGAGCCAAAGACTTTGGTGTTAGACTAATTTAAGCAGCATGTTGAAATCAGCGCTCAGGACTTTGATCATACGAGGATCGTTTGTTACAAATTGAACTAACCCAGTCTCTATTTCTGGCGGATCAGAACTTTGGATTTGTTGAATTAAATGCCTCATTTAGTGCCGTTTGCACATGAAAAGGAACGCTGCACTCAGGAATCTGATAGTGAATTTTTCACCTAACCAACAGGTCTACTTTTTTATTACTTTTAAACCTAATCCATACTCCTTCCACACTGTTCCTAATAACCCTGGGGCTGCTCAGAGTGAAGTTTTAAATCAACTCTCATGTTATTGGGGGCTGGGGGAGGCGGTGGCGGGGCAGTAGGGATTGGCTGAGCCATCCTTGAATTATCAAACCATGTAATAAAGAACATATTGGAACTTGGTACCAAAATAAAAGAAAAAAAGCAAAAGCTGAATTAGTCTTCAGTTGTTATTTACTGTCTAAATAACCCAGTTTCCTTTCGCGACAACTGTGGGATAAAACAGCAAAATGATTTTGCAGACCTGTGATTTTTTTGTACTGTTGCCTGTCTGGTCCGGTTGGAACTCTAAGGGAGAAAGGTTAAAAGGGCACAAAACAGACCATTTCCACATATGGCTACACTTTCTTTTCATTTTTGAAGTTATAATATCTTTAACTGTAGATAATGATATTATAAACTGTCATTTAGTGCATTTTAAGTATATTAAATACATGAAACAAAGATCTAGAAGGAGCAGCAGCTGAAATCTGAACAAAAACATCGTGACTCCAATCTGCCAGGCAGGAGACAGGTATTGGTTAGTAGGGAATGTCACCGAGCAAATAATCTCAAATACAGATTAGGACCTGATTCCTGAGTGTAAATTGTAATCCTGGCCAACGCTGGGCAATGGTGATTTAACAGTAATTAACTGTTAATTATTAACACACAGAGGTCAACAAACTACTTTTGGGTAAGGCTTTACTTTTACATTACTTGGTTCATATATAATTTTATTTCCCGTTAAGAAAGGTTTTAAGAGCAGCCCTTATCAGCTATTAACTTGCCCTGGTGTCCCCTCTACTAGACACAAAATAACCCCAAAATGCTACCGGTGTTCAGGAAGATGATTTTTGCCCAAGCCCTGCAGGTAGTTAATTCATAAATATTCACCTGCAGGCTTAACGATCCTCTTGAATGAGGGTTGCCTTCATTTAAAATGAATATAATTATTATCTTAATATGGTACCGGGATTGTGTGCCAGAAAAATCAACAGATGATTCCTTAGTTTTATTGGCATGACAGTGAGGTTGATCCACCCCCTCCCCCTCTGGAGAAAGAAAATGGTTGCAAAACAGATAACGATAATAAATGTTTTATTGGTGAAAAAAGAAAGATCAAATCTCTAATGAAATCAGGATGGGTTTAGAGATGAACTCCGTCTGAACTCACCAGGATTCATGGAACTTCAATTAAAACAATTTCAGAAGGGCAGCTGACAGCAAGATGCTGGGAAGTGTAATTAAAATTGAGCAACATTTTAGCACCAGTTTTTCTAACAGGATCCTGAGAATGTGTGGTGGCCCCGGGGAGGCGAGCGGTGTGGGCACGGGATCTGGGAGAGACGAAGATTCTAGACAAAACAGGTAAGAAATCCCGCAGATGCGAGGATCCCCAGGCACTAGCTAACAACATGCATTTTTTAATCCACTATTTTCATCTGTGCACTTGTAGAAAACTGGTTTGTTGAGCTGGAGACTGCCATTTTCCACCTGAAAGATTCTTTTTTTAAACAGCCTTTTGTGAAACCAAGGGCACACAGTGTTGCAGTTAAAAGCACGTTCTCTGCAGCCAAAACACCCAGATTCCGGTCTTGCTTTTCCACGCACTAGCTGTGGGATATTGGACAGTTGCTGAAGCTCTCTAAGGCTCATGATCCCAGTTATAAATTCATAGCATGCTATGATACCTAGTTGCTAGACTTGTCAACAGGCTTTAAGGAGATATTTCACATAAAGTGATTAGCACAATGCCTGGCACCTACTTAGCAGTTGGTAACTATGGGTGAACACTATTTGCTGGGGTTGGCAATTAAGTAAGTTAACTCTAAAAGTTCAACATCCCCTTTCAGAAGCAAAGTCTTCTACTTAAAGTAGCAGCCACAGACTGCAGTCAAAATGTAAGGTCCACATGCAACCTTTTATGGGACCATGTGTACAGGGCCATAAAAATTTGGTCCAGCCTCACTTAGCCATGAGAGAAAGGAAGGGAGAGAAGACCAGAAGGACAGCAGGACAAGGAAAAAGAAGAAGGAAGGAGCAAGCCTGCTCTGGCCTGTTGGGAGCCGCAGCCCCGAGCCCGGTCGCCTCACTTGGCGGACGTGCGGCCTGTGGTAAAGAGCAAAGCCTGGGGTAGATTACCCCTCCCATCGAATATGTTAGTTTCCTGCTTACCGCGTAAACAACCCGCTCAACAATATAGTCTGCCTGGCAACTGATGATGTTAGCCAATCAGCTTGCCTTGCTCACTTTAACATGATTGGACACTGTATCCGTATATATACTGGTGCCACCCCTGGGGGAGAAGAAGAAGCCCGGAAGTAGAAGCCCAGAAGGAGCCGCGGAGAGCGGACCGGTAGAGGCTTCGGAGCGAAGCCCGGAAGGAGCCGCGGGGAGCGGACCAGAGGAGGCTTCGGCTGGGAGCGATCCCAGGGCAGGCTGTACGGAGAAAGAAAAATAAAAAGAAAAGGTTGTCCACTACCAGACTTTGTCGTGTGTCCTTCCTGCCGGCCGGGAGCGGACATCGACATTTGGAGGCCCGCCCGGGGACTGATCACCCCCGAGACGTGGAAGTGGACAACGCTCCAGTACAGAGCTGCGAGACAGGTGAGTTGGGGATAAGCCTGGGCTCTGGGTGGCGCGCACCTACAGGGCTTTTAGACTCCCCTCAGGCTCACGCGTAAGTGGCGGATTCCTTGGGCCTCACGCGGTGAGTAACATATTAAAAGATGGGAAACATGTTAGGTAGCAACACTAAGAGCGAGGGTGGTTGTGGAGAAAGCTCTCAAGAGCTTACAAAAGTACGCAGGGTATCTGAGCAGGCCCAGTCAGGGAGCTCCCGAGAGGGGTCCGTCAAGGGGAACAAGGATGCTAAGGAGAAGGACGGGGCTCTAGCCTCGGAGTCGTCTGACTCCGAGGACGAGGGAAAGTTGAATGGCAAGGAGGCCAAAGAGACCAGCTGTCAGGAGCCTAAATCGCTCGATAAGGAGTCGCAGGGTTCTTTACCTTGGGGGCCGTTTCCGGAGGCGATTCCTCGCCACGAGGCGGCCGCCTGGGAGCTCTCTCCCCTTTCGCCAGAACAGGAAGTGATGCACGGGCCCCCATTTTCCGCCCAATCACGGCCGCTGTCTTATGCTCCGCCGCCGGCGGGTCGGTATTTTTACAGGCGGCTTTGGCAGGGGGGACGCTTGTCTCATGAGGTACATCCACCTGGGATAGATAGTGGCCCCTACGGGATATTTCCTGTACAAGTAGCTATGGGCCAGGGACGCAATGTATGGGAGCCTTTTGAGATAAAGCAGATTAGAGAACTTAAAAATGCAGTTACAACCTTTGGGCCGACTGCGCCTTACACCATTGCCATGCTGGAGAACCTGTCTTCTGGGCCCCTCACCCCCGCGGACTGGATTCAGCTGGCAAAGGCGTGTCTGCCCTCGGGCAGTTACCTGGATTGGCGAGCCTGGTACGCAGAGTTCTCTGCAGAGCAGGCTGAGAAAAACGCCGGTCGAGGAAACGGGGGCTAGAGATTTAGCTCAGCGGCATAAACGGGGGCTGGGGATTTTCGATCCCTGGTACCAATAAAAAAAAAAAAAAAAAAAAAAAAAAAACGAAAAAGATAAAAATAAAAAATAAAAAATAAAAAACAAAAAGGGGGAGTAAGCCAAGGCCTGCCTCCAAAGGCGCGGTTATCTATGACAGGACAATGGATGGGCCCGGATCCAGTGGTCAGCTGGAACCGAGGCGCGGTTTGTGTTTTCCCACAGGAACCGGGACGAGAACCACTGTGGATACCGGAGAGACTGACACGGGCAACAAAGCCCTCGACTGAAGATCAGACCTGCCCTACTGGAGATCCATCACAGACCAACCAATAAGATGAATAGAAATAGCGGTAGCCCGAAATGGACAAGAAGATCCTCAGGCATATGCATGGCTTGCTCAATTGGCCCACGACCGAGTCTAGATATGGCGGGCATCCCTCATTCTCCTCCATAAGGTGACAATACACAGCAGGGTAGGTGAGTCAATGACGGGTAAGAGCGTGCCTCCCCAGCACGACTCGACCTAAGCCAGGCCCTACCCCATCCTGCACGTAAGCCGCTGGACTGTTAGATGCTGCCCAGGTCTAAATTTCTCTCCGAGGGGATTTCTTTACGGAGAGGAAATGAGTGCAAGCTTGTGTGCATCCAGGTTCCGTCCAGTTTGTGCCTGGCCCTAGAAAAAGGACGAGGGCCTCAGGGCCTTGGCAGACCATGGCATGGCCAACCAGGGTCTAAGCCAAGGACCTACGGTGGACCTACACATAGGGCATAAGCCTCTGCACCCAGTCCAGGAAGGGCTACGATGCGCACATTCATAAAAAATAAAATAGGGGGAGATGTTGGGAGCCGCAGCCCCGAGCCCGGTCGCCTCACTTGGCGGACGTGCGGCCTGTGGTAAAGAGCAAAGCCTGGGGTAGATTACCCCTCCCATCGAATATGTTAGTTTCCTGCTTACCGCGTAAACAACCCGCTCAACAATATAGTCTGCCTGGCAACTGATGATGTTAGCCAATCAGCTTGCCTTGCTCACTTTAACATGATTGGACACTGTATCCGTATATATACTGGTGCCACCCCTGGGGGAGAAGAAGAAGCCCGGAAGTAGAAGCCCAGAAGGAGCCGCGGAGAGCGGACCGGTAGAGGCTTCGGAGCGAAGCCCGGAAGGAGCCGCGGGGAGCGGACCAGAGGAGGCTTCGGCTGGGAGCGATCCCAGGGCAGGCTGTACGGAGAAGGAAAATAAAAAGAAAAGGTTGTCCACTACCAGACTTTGTCGTGTGTCCTTCCTGCCGGCCGGGAGCGGACATCGACACTGGCCCATTCTGGCCACAGCTCTACTCCATTGCTTTAAATTGCTTTAAAGGATTGTGTCCTTGCAACAAGCCTTTCTCCAATTTGGGTCAGCAAGAGTAAGTTCTATTCCTGGGCACCTTGCACTTTCTCTACGACCTTGAGCATGCAAGAGGTTTTTCACACACATAACTGAGGCAAAGAAGCTATGTCCATACATACCCTGCTCTGCTGAGCACAGTAAGAAGCAGGATTTTCACATGGTACCTGCAGAACCCCTGAGGATCATCTAGAACAAATCAGCACTTGCTAACCGGGCAGCCCCAACAGGCAGCCCCTGGCCCTTCTCTACCCAGCTTCTGACTGTTAATGGGTCCAGACAGAGGCTCTCCAAGCACTTACAGTCTCCTGGAGAGAGATGCTTCTTGCCTGACTCTGACTGGGAGCGCGGGTGCTGACTCAGCAGTTTCCCCAAGTTTTATAGTCCCTCAGGCAGGAGTTCTGTATTGGCTTTTGGGATCTGGCTCATGATTTTACATTAAGTCAAATTTCTAATGGTATAGAGAATTCCAACCTGTGAATAATGGGGAAAAAATTAATTACATATCCTTTGGCCTGCCCTCTGTAATTTTTTTATAGCTGCCACAGCAGAATTACCTTCCAAATTATATTGCTCTGGGTTATTAAAATGACTTTCAATTCCCTGAGTATATGAGGACAGACAGCCAGGCAGGAAAGTGAAATAGCAGGATTCCTTCCTTTTTCATTTTATTTTTCTTTCTTTTTTTCTTTTCTCTCTTACCGCAGATAAGCCATCATGCTCACATAACTAAGAATTGACTGCTTCTATTTCCAATTAATCCATTTCCTCTGGTGTCTAGTATTTACTCTTAGACTTCCCCTGGTTTACAGTACAAACCAGCACTCTTTTAATACTCCAAATCCATTAGACACTTTTCTTTTCCCTTGTGAACAAAGGAGAAATGTTTTCTTGCAACTTTATGGAAGTCATCAATCTCCCTGAAAGGCTTGCCACGCTCAACAGAATCCACATTATAACTTATGCAAAACAGAGGGTGGGCAGCATGGGGGGAAATCCCGGTCTCTTTGAGCAGTAGCAATGTATTAAAGAAAACATGCATTTCTGCTGAAATTCATATTGGTAAATGGATTTCCCATCTGAAACATTGTTTTTCACTAAGAGAAGCTTTTAATCCCCTTAAGTTCCTTTCTAATCTGCCTTGGAAGTGCTTGTCTCAGGAATATAACAGTGATGATATAACAGATTTAATTTATTAGAACGAGACAGCAGCCAGCCAGCAGAGTACACAAGAGTGCATGCCCGCCGGCAAGTGGGGCTGTCACTGTGGGTAAAGAGAGCTTGTCCCACCTCTTCTTGATTCTGCCCCAAGTTCAGGCCACAGCACCCTGGGCTCTCTCCAGATCAAATGCCTCAACTTCACAGGGTAAAGCCCTTTATCCCTGCAGACCTAGAGGACAGCTGAGGAAGGCAGGCCAGAAAAAAGCCATAACTGTCCCTTAGGCTTCTCTGACTGCCCAGAGCTCTGGAGAAATAACAGCTGGATGGGAGCAGAGACCAGCAGCCTTGGGGACCAATGCCACAGAGTTCAGTAGCGATCTCAGTGAGATATTCCTTTCCATCTGGTTGGGATGGGCCCCTTTGGTAGCAAACGGCTTCCATGAATCAAGGGCCAGAAGGACAAGAAATACAAAGTCCACCCTTACTACACCTGATCCCTCTCCTGATGAAATCAGAAAAAAAAAAAAAAAATACGAGCCAGCCCTATTCAATCCAAAGGCACGTGACTTGGGGTGGCAGCAGAACATTTGTTCTCAGGTCACGGTCTATGCATTCTCCAGCCCACCTGGCCCAGCAGTTGAACTTGGAAGGTTGAGCCTATAGATGGTTGAGACCACCGGGCTGGCATAGTTCTAACCACCATGATGGCATTAAGTAGACACATACACATCTGTTTCTCCTTTTCCTGAAAAGAAAACTGTTCATTTGTTCATTCACTTCCTGCTTATTAATATTCTCATAAGCCAGCCTTTGACTCACAGGAATAGCATTCTTGCATCCCTAAGAGGATACTTGTGATTTTAGCACAGGGCTTTGGTGTCACTGTTTAATTTTGTATCTTTGCTGTCACACCATAGAGAGAAAGAACTTAGCCCCTGAAAACAGAAAGGCTGAGTTCAAATTTCAGCTCTAGTAAGTAACCTGCTGGGAGTTATAGAATAAGTAATCCACCTCACTGAGGTGTCGTCTTTTAGTCTACAAAATGGGAAGGTGACCGTATGTTCTCCAGTGAGAAGTAATTGGTCTCACTTGGTGAAATTCTCAGCACAGTGCCCAGCGCATACTAAATGTTGATTAATGATGGTTATAATTACACACGTAGGTTTACCAATATACATGTTTCCTCCTTCTCTTCATCCATTCCTTAGATGTTTCTCGAACATCCATGATGTGCCTTGCCTAGCTCTGTGCTTGACAAAAGCAAGGGATGGGGAGAAGCTTAAAAGTAAACCTCCATAGAAATGCAACTTTGTATCCATTCTTTCACTCGAAATTCACACCCCCACCACAACAAAAATCCAAAATCACAGCAGCTATTTTGGGTAGATGTAATCATTTTCACTTCTTGGAGGACCAGAAGGATTCAGTATGATTAGGAAGTTTCGTTAATGGCAAAGTTGCAGACAACCAGGGTCACAGTATCCGTGACAAACCTCCTCCTCAACTTTTCCTTGAGCCAGATTTTCCGGAAGACAGGGATCCCGAATCCAGACAAGGTAGACTACAAGTATTCCAAATCCCACTCGGACATGACCTCCGTGGCTCTGTGATATAGTCCATTCCGCAGCAAGTGTGCACTTCGGTGGGAAACCCAATGCCTGCTCAGTGGGGGCTGGAAGTCGGCTGTCTTCAGACTTTGAGAAGGAGACCAGGAAAGGAAAAGAGGCTGGGGAACTTGATGCTTATTAAAAGCACTTGCTAGAAAGCTGCGTGCAAGCCCACATGGTGCCCAAAGCCAGGAAGCTGGGCCACAGCAGGGGTCAGTGCCCCGTCCTGACAGGCATGAGCTGCGGAGTCTGGGCTGAAGATGGATGGGGGCGCCTAGCCTGCCCGTGACAGCGCTAATCCGTGTGACCCAGCAGCGCAGGCTGGGATTCTGGCCACGTCCCCAACACTTTTTATGGGCCTGAAGCAGGGAGAGGGAATTTTCATCATTTCAGACATAAATAACTGCACAAACAGTGTTGAGATCAGACACCTGAAAATGAACCACTCCCTGCAAAACAAAGCTCACGGCCAGATCGGCTTCCCAGAGCAGAGCAGTACAACACTTTTGCAACAGATCTGGTGAAGTCTCCATCCTCAGCAAAGAGCCCATTCCATGCTTTCTGCCACTGTTCAGAGTTTACTTCATTTCTCCTCCCCATTTTGTCACATTCTTTGCAGAAGATGTGGAGGCCAGGAGACTCTTAAGCTCCACTTGCAGACTTCTGCTGGGTATAAAGGAAGGCACATCCTTCCTCCCACCACGGGCCACCTGTCACTTGTGTCCCTGCCTCCTCCTCTTTCTAGCTGTCCAGCCAACATACTGACAGTCCCTTGTCTGCCATGCTTATCACCCGCAGGGACACATACTTTAGTATGTCTCATCTCAGAAACCAAACCAGAATCTCTCCTCATCTTTCTCCAGTTACGTCTGACTTTCCTCATTCTCCATGAGGCAAAATATCTTGCAAATGTCATCTCCAAGCCCCATCTCTGTGTTGAGTCCAATTTGACTCCACCACCACTCCACAGAAATCACATTGCAGTGAGCTCCATGTTTCCGTTCCTTGTTGGTCTCTTGCTCCCTCCTGAGACACCTTGCGTCTTAGCTTCTGCCTTGCCACCCCCTCCTGTCCCTGGAGGCTGCACTTGCACCCACATCTAGAAGTTGCAGTGTCCCTCATTTCCATCCTTCGTCTCTTCTCTGCTTCCCCCTGTTCTTTAGGTGACCTCATTCTTTCCCGAGATCTTAGATGCCATCTCTGTACCGCTGGCTTTGAAATTCTAGTCCTGGTCTATTTCCCCAGGGCTCTGACTCGTACATCTGGCTACTTTCTTGACATCTCCCCTTGGACATCTACTAGGCCTCTCCACTTGACATTTCCATAATCAGGCAGTTTACAAAACAGGAAATACACTAAGTTTTTATGACTCGGCCAAAGTACTCAACCTCTCTGAGAATGAATCACATGCAAATCAAAGTGAAAATTTGATTCTTTTTTTACCAATTAGTTTAGCAACAAGAGGTCAAAGCATTTAATAACATACTGTGGTAAGTATTTGAGGGGGAAAGACCCTTTGTAAAGTACCGGGGGATATAAATTGGTATAATTCCTTTGTAGAGTGAATTCTCAATAACTATCAAAATGAAAAACATATATCCTCCTAGACCCCGCATGTTCATTTCTAGGAGTTTATCCAATAGATTTCTGCGATAAATATATTCAATATATTTACTGATCTTAATATTTGTCAAGTAAATATAGCCACATACTGTATTTGCAGATGGATGCTGAAAGTATTCAAAGAACTACCCATAACAGCAATAAGAAACTAGTCCCACAGGTGAAAATACAGTTTCACAGAGGGGTACCACCTAACTGCTAAAAGAACAGAAGATATCTTTATAAGCAAATGCAGAAAAGACTACAAGGTATAAAGTGAAATAAAAAAATAAAGTTATAGAAGGTTGTATACAATATGCTATTCCTGTATTAAAAAGAGTGCTAGAGACCAACCAACTCTCACATAAATGCTCATGTAAATACAAAATACTGCTGATGGGAGATACACGGAACTTCTGATGGAGACTATCTTTGGGACAAAAGAACCAGGAGACCAGTTCCTATGGAATTAGGATACTTGCCTTGCATATTTTTGTACCGTTTAACTTTTT